ACCAAATAAAATGAAGTTTCTGTAAACAGAGACTTTAAAAAAAGGTTTAGTTGAGACCAAAACACCAAACACAACAGTTTGACCTCAGTCACATGAAGTAAGTCTAGATTTTGCTATAATTGTTTTTTTTTTTCTTGGGATGATAAAAATTGAAGATTTTATCATCCAGATTTTGATCTAGAAATGAGACAAAAATGAAAAATCATGCAAATGGAAATGTTTGAACTCACTTTATAATACAGCTAATAGATAATTATCATGTTACGTCACACTTCCATGACCTCTGTAACCGACAGCCATCTTGATAGGCAGTTACTATGACTACAATAAACAATTTATTAACAATATCAGTACATTAAAGCTATTGGAGTACTCTACCCGCCTCTGATATTTATATTAAGATAAATATCAGTGATATTTACTGCAATACTTACTACCCAACTAGTTAAAGTAGCTTAACTAATGTAGCTTTTATCTGCTAGCTAGACGGACATGTAGCCTACGTGTTTGTTGCTACATGTTCTTACGCTGCCAGAACCAGAACTTCGTCATTCACACCAAGAGTTCGTTCGTCCTTTACAAATTAAACACTGATTGTCTGCGTTCATGTGAAGCTCTTCTTGTTCACTGAACCACAACGGGAGATCGGAGGCAGCTTGTCCACATCGTCTGACATCTTTTCCTTCCCCGTCTCATACGGGTCGATCCCAACAGCAGCCATTTTGTTCTGGTATCGTTCTCTCACACATTGACTAAGAGTCCACACATTTTCTTATTGTTGGTATCGAAGCCATGGGTCCGCTGTGCTTTGTGCTGCGCTGCCCTACCAAGATGGCACGGATCACTTCCGGATTTATTGTGACAGGCGTGTTTATGTCTGTGTCTAAACTGAGAAACGTTTTATCACCATTCAGATGTTTTTCTGTATCTGATCCATATCAAACCTCAGATATCAGAAGTGAAATCAGTGTGTTCAAGGCAGGGCTTCATTTCCGGCCACAGCGGTCGTCAGGGGTCACCAGGGATTATCAGGGATTATCAGAGGTCACCAGGGGTCATCAGGGGTCAGGGTTTTACTCTGAACTTTGTCTCCAGGTGAGGCCTTCACCTGCCTGGAGACGGTGGTCCGATTGGACGCTCTGCACAGACAGCTGCGTCTCCTTGGAGACAACAACCCTGTGAGCAAGCTGCAGGTCAAGTTTGAGCCAGGTACACACACACACACACACACACACACACACCCCGGTGTGCAGCTGTACAGGTGAGGGTCCTTCCTGCTCCCCTGCAGGTGTGAACCCCAGCACGCTGATGAACCTGTTCACCTATGAGAAAGGCTTCTGCTTCGTGTCGTACCTGTCTGAGCTCAGCGGCGACGTCCGGCGCTTCGACAGCTTCCTCAAGGTCAGTGATGCATTTAGAGGCTGGGGCTAACATGTAGCCCCGCCCTAACAGAGGAAAGCAGAACCGCCTCCTGGCCCTGATTGGTTGTTTGTGGTCAGCGCTGGGAGAAGGCAGAGGAGTTTGATTTTCTGACAGGTTAACAAATAAGTACAAAGAAATGATAAACGTCACGTACTGCAGCTTTAAGGTCATTATCTTCATGTTTCTGTATTTTTGTATCAGTCTGGATGCTGCAAACAGTTCGGCTCTGTCAGGTTGGTGGGGATCAGGTCTGGGCTTTGACTAGGCCACTCCTGATCCTCCATCTTGTTGTTTTCAGACTGTCTCTGTGAACTCCAGAGATGTTCAGAACCAACGCTGATTTTGTATCTACTCTCTGACTAATGTATGTGTGTGTGTGTGTGTGTGTGTGTGTGTGTGTGTGTGTGTGTAGGACTACATCTCAGAGTTTAAGTTTCAGAGCGTTGTGGCTCAGGACCTCATTGCCTACTTCCTGCGATACTTCCCGGAGCTGCAGGACGCCGCCGTCTCCCAGAGGGAAGGTACGCCTGGTAGGTTTCATGCTGCTGCCTTCCGCTTCCTGCTCGGTGACATCACTTCCTGTTCTCAGGTCTGGAGTTTGAGCGCTGGCTGAGCGGTTGCGGCCCGCCGCCGTTTGAGCCTGACCTGTCAGCAGGGGGCGCTCTGATCGGGCCGGTGCAGGAGCTGTGCGACCTGTGGAGAGGCGGCGGCCCGCCCGACCAGCAGGCACTCGCGACCTTTGACCTGTCGGCCTGGAGCACCTTCCAGGTGGTTCTGTTCCTGGACCGGATGCTGGACCACTCACCGCTGCTGTACGGTGCGTCTCTTAACGTCGGCGGCAGCGTCACCTGCTGTTGGAGCGTCGCTGACGGCCGCTGTGTGTTTCAGACGTGATGGCGAGTCTGTCCGCCTGCTACTCGGCGCTGTTTGACGGGCTGAACGCCGAGGTCCAGATCCGCTGGCTGCAGATGGTGGTGAGGAACACATTCTACCCCGACCTGCCGCAGGTCCGAGCCTTCCTGCACAAACACGTAAGAACAACAACCGACGCTTCGCTGCAGCTCCGAACCAGAGGAGCCAGAGTATGAGTTATCTGAATATCTTATTAACATGCAAAGCATTGATTCATGAAGCCATATTGCATCAGAAACAGGCTGCTGGTGTTTGGTCAGTGCAGCGCTGAGCACTGCTAGCTAACAGAATGCTAACCCTAAAGCACTAATCATAAACATTAGTTCCACTAATGCTAAAGTGCTAAGCCATCATGCTATTTGGTAGAAGATAATGCTAACTTCAGCCATGTTGATAATGACTAGAGCTGGAATCTTTGAGTGACTCTCAATTCGATTAGATTTTTAGACATGAAATGATTTTTGGTTTAGAAACAATTTTTCTGTTGAAACTGTCCAGAGATTGTTAAACTATGTGACTGACGAGAGGAAAACACGTTGTAAATAAATAGAACATTTATTTAAAACAATTAAATGAGCTAAAAATTAGCTTTGCTAATGATCATGGAGCTAATTTTTACTTTAGCGTTTTGAATTTTATCCAAGAGGGACAGTCGCTTTTACACTTAGCAGAAATGCTAAACGCTCTTAGCTTCCCTAAATACATTTTCTGGACACACTATGGCTACCCTCATTGAAACGCTGATGCACTAAACCAACAGCTAGCTGCGCTGCTAGCAGCTTAGCACTGCGTCAGAGCTTCAGTAACTACCAGGACATGTTTCTGTTGTTCCTCCCTGCAGACTTCCAGGATGTACACCGTGCCGCTCTATGAGGACCTGGTTGCCGGGGTGATGAAGTGCGTTGCCGTGGAGATCTTCTACCAGACGCAGCGCCGCCTGCATCCCAACCTGCGACGGACGCTGCAGCTCATCCTGTTCCCCAGCAGCTCGGCGCCGGCCAATCAGAGCGGCGCGGTTCCGCCCATCCTGACTGGCTCCGCCCCTTCCGGCTCGCCGCTGCAAAGCCCTGCTGCCACGGCAACGGCCTCCGCCGCTGGAACGACGGCCGCCATGGCGCTCAGGGACGTTAATGTGTCGGCTTGACGGCCGTCCGGACCCCCACGGGTCCCGACGGGTCAGAACCAGAACAGTTTCCTTCATCATGTCCGCAAACAGCAGAACTTTCTAGAACTTCATGAAAACGATGCAACAGATTTCTCTTCTCCTCGGTTTGAGGAACCTGGACTGGATTCTGATCCAGAACCAGAACTGGACCTGAACACCGGAGCGGCCTTATCGCCTCACTGTGAAACAAACCCGCTAACTGGACCCAGTCCAGCCACATCCTCAGGAACCTGCAGACCCTGAACGCACCGCTGAAATGAAATGAAACCCGATCACACGACCAATAATCTGTATTGATTATCAACCAGCTTCACTCTGCAGACGGTTAATTATTTTATTTATTCTGTTTTCCTCCATCGAAAATAAAATTAAAAAAATCATCTTATTGTTTTATTCTGAAGAAAATCTTTAACTTTCAGAAAACAGATTTATTTATTTTGAAGGGCTCCTTTAATTTCCGGCTTTTGTTTTGAAGTCAGACCGGAAATGTAAGGTCTGACATGTTTAACGGGATCTTTGATGTCTGAAGGTTTCATTATTTAATACACAGGAAGCTGGTGGCTTTGCTTTCACAATAAAAGCCTTGACTCGTGTTCCACTAGTTAAGGAGATTTTACGTTTTTATTTCTCTTTTATTAAACTGATTTATTGTGAACAAACAAAACCTTTAGAATCTTTTAACTGTCTACAACTGTTTTTTATTTCATCAAACTTTGTTTACACTGAACATTTTGTAATTGGGTTGAAGGTAAATCTGAATCAGATCTGGTTTGTGTTTTATGTCTGAAATTATTTTTTTGCTTTTGTGCCATAAATGAAACTAATTTTAAAGACATGTAAGAAGTCTTTATAACTTCAACTAAACTACAGAACTGAAGCTGTTTTCTATGATGATGTATCGGGGCCGTTTTAGACAAGGACAGAAACAGGAGTACATTTCCACAAAACACTCAAATATTTTAATATTACTCTCAGAAAACATGGAAATTTATGGATTTCAAAAGTCAAAAATATTTCAACTTTTAAAACTCAGAAATTTGCAAATGTCAAATTTTGACTAATCTCAAAAATTGAGGGGTTTTTGTAGCAAATTTCAACTTTTGGACTTCAGAAAATTTCCAAATGCTGAAAGTGTTTGCCTTTTGAAACCTAGAAACAATTTTTTCTAGAAAATTTCTGAGATTTTTGACTCAGAAATCTCCCATTTTTTTCCCCTGGAAAATTTGAGTTTTTTGTTGCAAATTTCCTGCTTGTTTTTCCCTAAAATGCTGTCGTACTTTCCTGGTGCTGAAACATCAGATGAACCTCAGACTTCTGGAAAAACATACAAACATGTCAGTCGCTTAATGAAGAAATATTAAACATAAACAGCAGGAATTTATTTTTAATAAATAAACCCGTCCAAATGTCCCTAATTCCAATCGAACAAGTTCAACAAAGTGATTTTATTTGGGTTCTTTAGGCTTCGTTTCACCGGGGAGACCTTTATATTGAAGCCCATCACCGGAAGTTGCGTGTTTTAACGCGTGCAGTATTGACTATCGGGAGGAAAGCATCACCGGAGCCCCTCTGCAGCTGGACCGACACATCTGGACCGGAACCGGCCTGGGACCAGCCGCAGCTCCTGGAGGTGGGGGCGGGGGGAGCGCACAGGTGAGGCGTCACGTGACCAGACCTCCGGAGCTTAACGGGGCGCGCGCAGGTGTGTCTCAGCATCCCAGTCGAAGCGCGTGCGGGGCTCCTCGGGGCCAGCATGGCGGAGGAGACCCGGGTCATCTACCACCTGGAGGACCAGGAAACCCCCTACCTGATCCGGATCGGCGTGCCCGCGCAGCGCGTCACCCTGGCCGACTTCAAGCAGGTGCTGAACAGACCCCACGCCAAATTCTTCTTCAAGTCCGTTGATGATGACTTCGGGTGAGTCACGTGACTGACGCCTCCATCAGGAAGATGACACAGATCCAGATGGGTTTATGGAGCATCAAAGGTCACGTGTTCCAGCGGGGGGAGGCGATTCAGTCACATGATCAGTGATCAATAATCATGAAAAACAAGAGAAAGGCTGATAAACACATGTATGAATCAGCAGGGAGGCTTTGTTTGTATGTTTATGAGCTGATTGTTTATATAATCCTCCTCATGCAGCTGTGATTATGTAACTGTGATGAAAACAAAAGCTTTAATATTCCCTCTGATGAGAGGATGACTGTTGGCGGTGAGCTCATGATGATGATGATCTTTTGTCTCTAGGTGTAGCAATTTAAAAACGAACGAGACGAACATTCTGACTTTCAAAGATCAAATTTATACTTTAAAACAGATTTTTTTTTTCTGATTCCTTGTCTGTCAAGAATTATTTGCGGCTGTTTTCCCACCTGATAGTCCGATAGACTCGGTTCCCTTCCTGACCTCTGGGGGCGCTGTAACAAGAACCACTGAAGGAAATGACCCAAAAACACCTGAAGACACTGAGTGCAACTTCCTTCACAAAATGGAAACAGAAATGGAGGCGTCAGATTTCAGTGGTTGTCTTTGGTCGTTGGCTAAAGATCACAAACCATTTCTCCTGTTAGCGCTAGACTAGCGTGCTTGCTTTGGTTGATTTTACCCAGAATGCATGCTTTCTAACCGAACCAGAGTTAGCTTGGAGGACAAGCGTTAGCTCCTTTGGCTCGGTTGTGCATTCACACCTCCCCAAGCGAAGCAGACTTTCTGGTCTTTAACCGGAGTTGAATTAAAGCGGTGTATAATGGCTGCTGGTGGGAATATTTTCAAAGTTATCAAGTTGCTAAAGCACTTAGCACACCCTTAGAGTAGTTGGGGCAGGTTTTACTACAACTTAATCAGACGAGATGGCAAATATTTTCAGGATGTTTTCATATCATATCTTGCTGCACCTCTAGTTATGAAACGATGCTCATAGTGATGAAGATGATGACAGTAATGATGACGATGATGATGGTGTGTTTCAGGGTGGTGAAAGAGGAGATCAGTGACGATGAAGCTCGGCTGCCTTGTGTCAACGGACGGGTCGTCTGTTGGGTCAGAACCGCTCAGAACCTCTCAGATGGACGATCAGTCATGAAAACATCAGGACGTCCAGTTAAACCTCCAGTTCTCTGAATATCACCAGTAGAGGGCATTGCTAATTGAAAAGTTAGACAAGCTAATCATAAACTTTACATCCACTAACACCTGCACTGCGTCACAGGTGGAGAATGCCAGGAGAGGAAATGGAACTGCTGCGTAAACAGATTTCAAAATAAGAGTATGGATATAACCAAAAGTTCAACTCAGATTTTTAACTTTATAAAACTGAAAGTTTACAAAACAGCCAAGTAAATTTGTCTGGCACTATGAATTTAGGCAAAGCTAAGTGCGCTAAGCATATTTAAAGTTAGCTAAAGTGCTAATCACTAAATTAGCTTTGCTGTTAGCGGATTAGCGTCAGTGTGTCCAGCAGCACTGGTTTGGATGCTGCGAGCATCTTGCTGTGTGGTTTTAGCCAGACCTAAACATGTTGGAGGACGTTTGGAAGGTCAAACACTCGTAGGTCTGTCCGCACTTTGAAACGGTTGATTCCAGATTCTACCTTAAACCGTTTACCAGACCAGAAGTTGCGCCAGTCTTCTTCCTGAGTGCTTCTCTGTAGATCTCACCATGGCGTCACTGTCTAAATGTCTAAACTTTAAACTGAACAAAATTCAGAAAATTATACATTATGATTACATTTTCTTTAATATCTAATCTGAATATGTCCTTATTTTTTCATGACTGTCTCATTTGGACCTGATGAGACACCTGGACTGTCCAGGTGTCTCTAAGATCCTGTCTTCTTCTCTGCAGGTGGTGTCTTCAGACGCCTGTCCTCCGGACTTCAGGGGGTCGGACACGCCCTCCGTGGCCACGCCCTCCAGCTTGGCCCCGCCCCCCATCGAGAGGACCGGCGGCATCGGCGATTCCAGACCGCCGTCCTTCCAGTGAGTTCCTACACGGATTAAGCTCCAGTAGTGCTGATGCGACCGCGCGCTGACAGGATGTGATGTGTCTGTCCGCTTCAGCGCTGCGGCCGTCTGTCACGATGACCTGCAGGGGTCAGAGGTCAAATCGCCTGCTCCATCTTCAGAGAAGCAGCGGCGGAGAGATGGTAAGCTCTTCAACTGAATCAAACCAAATTCTTCCAGCTGTCTCTGATTGGCTGCGGTCTGCATACAGGAGGCCACCTGAACGGACACGCCCACCAGGCGGCCGACCAGAAGGGGGCGGGGCCAGCTGGCGGCGACAGCTCATCCAATCAGCAGAGCAGCGAGTTAGAGACGACCAGCTTCTGCTCGTCTGAGGAAGACTCTGGAGGAAGGTCAGACCTAAACAGTTCTGGTCCGGTTCTGAGTCCACCTGCTGACCAGCAGAACCCTGGGTAACCGGGCTGGGGCAGTTACCCAGGGTGTCATTTCAAATGGGCGCCATTCTAAAGCTTAAAATTGGTCTGTGTAGCACGTTTCAGCAGCAAGGCAGTTCAAGGTGGAAATTACATAGTTATTGTATTGTGATATGTCTTATCTGTCAGTTGTGCAGTGAGGTGTACGGAACAGGGTTAGTGCCAAAAATAAATAAAAGAATTTTAACTTTTTTCTCTTTGACTTTAATCTCAGAAGTTTGACTTTAATCTGAGAATTATGGCTTCTTTTCTCAGAATTTTGACTTTTCTATGCAAATCTTGACTTTTTTTTTCAGAAAATTTTGACTTTAATCTCCAAATTCTGGCTTTTTTCCTGAGAAGATTAAATTCAGATTTCTGAGAAAATAGTCAGATTTATTTATTGTTCTTTTAGTGGCCCTAATCCTAATCCAGACTGCTTTCATCACTTCATTATTATAATTTTCAGCCATTGTTTCTGTCCAGATTTACTGTCTGACTTCTTCTGGTGCAGAATTATTATGCATGTCTCATGTCAGTGTCAGAAAAAATGCCTTAAGAGCTTTCAGACTGCTGGGAAAAAGTCGGATTTGGGTCCCATTTTCCTGTGTGTGAAGGTTGCCTAGATTACCTGCTTTCTGCAGATGAAGCATTTTAATTGATTGGGGGTTTTGGCAGAAGGAGTGGCTTACCTACAGCGCCAACAGTCCCTGGCAGATTTCAACAGTTCTTTTGTTGTTTTTGTCACTTAAATGTTCCAGAAAATGTTTGAGCTCCATAAAAGACAATCTGAGGAGTTTTTTAAGTGACTTTTTAAATCATATTTAGACCCATGGTTTGACTAGGCCACTTCAAACGCTGTGTTTTGTTTACTTTGACACTTTTTGACTGTTTTAAAAAAAATACTTTTTCACAGCAGTGTACTTCTGTTTGTCAGTCTGGAGCATTTCCAGTTATGGGTGTGTCCCTGAATGCATCACGGTGCGTTTGCTGCAGCGGTGTCAGGCTCGTAAACCTGTTGAAGTCAGAACTCCTGGGAGAACCCAAACTCTTCCTGTGGTTCTGGTTCTGTGATGTGTAAAAAACGGTACTGCTCCTTTAAAGGCTGTGTCATGTGACCCAATGACCTCAGCAGCAGCTCTCGCTGTGATTGGCCCATTCCTCTGACACACATTCACCTGCCTGCAGGTCATTTTTTCTGCCCCAGTAAGCCTGTTCACGCCCTGGGCTCTGATTGGCTGCTGCGTGTCATGTGACCAGCGCTGCCTTTTGTATTGTGCTGCAGATAAAGCCATCCCAGCTGATCTGAGAGCAGAAATAATGTGTTCCTGATCGATTTCCTCATTTAGACTCTGATTTCCATCAGTGATGGACTCCACCTGCTGCCAGATTTACAATCTTTACACAAACATTTTAAATCTTTTTCTAATTTTTAAACAGGTTTGGAGTTTTGCTGTCCTTTATTTAATTATTTGTAAAGTCAGATTTTCCTCTCTCTGTTGGAAATGTGTTGATTTTTTATTAAAAGTGATTAATTTCTGACAGGTAAGCAGGTTTTTTATTTGTTTTCAAAATTAGAAATTTGTTTTTTAAAACCTGAATTTGTTTTTTTATTAAATAATTATTTGTATTTTGATTTTTTTATTCATTATTTTATATATTGATGTGATCTTTCCAAGTTGCAAATATATTTTTATGAAATTATAGCAACTTTTTGTTAAATCTCTTACTACTGGGGAGAAAAATAAGCAAATTTTCCATGGATAATTTGGAGCCACATTGGGGCTCGACTATGTTTATATATTTGTCTGTTTATCCTTTTAAAAAGCTTTTATTTTTATTCATCTTTGATTAATTTTACTGTCTGCTTCAAATACATGTTTTAATTAGGATTTCCTGCTTTTATATTTCTATAAAATCTTTGTTACGTTTTTAGATTTGTGTTTTTTTTGACCAATCAAAATTCTGCCTGTGATGTCAAACCAGATTCAGCCAATCAACAGGCCAGAGCAGCTCCTCGCCAAGACTCATCAGGCGACAGCGGCGTCGCCACAGAAAACCAAAAACTCCACGGATGGAAAAGGTAAACACACACACACACACACACACACACACACACACACAACGTGAGGTCCTGGTTGTCTGTATAAGTGTGTCTTTATGACGCCTGATGCAGGGCGGCTGTTTCCATCTGGACTTCCTGTCACTGACGTGTCCCTCTTCTTCCTGTCCTGTCTCTCTGTCCACCTGTCTCCTTCTCTACCTGCCTCTATCTGTCTGTCCATCAGTCGGCGTCTTTCAGCAGCGTCACTGACTCCACCATGTCGCTCAACATCATCACTGTAACCCTCAACATGGGTGAGTACAGAAAGGTTAGCAGCGGATTGGATCAGGACACATACAGCCTTGGTTAGGTCTACTGCTGTCAGGGTCAGGTCTGACCGAGTCCAGAACTGGCCCAAACGGTCTTGATAAGGACAAAGAGAGTCCAGAACTGGCCCAAACGGTCTTGATAAGGACAAAGAGTCCAGAACTGGCCCAAACGGTCTTGATAAGGACAAAGAGAGTCCAGAACTGGCCCAAACGGTCTTGATAAGGACAAAGAGAGTCCAGAACTGGCCCAAACGGTCTTGATAAGGACAAAGAGAGTCCAGAACTGGCCCAAACGGTCTAGATAAGGAAAAGAAAGTCCAGAACAGATCTTGTCACCCTGAATCCCATTAGTAAAACCCATGTTTCACAAATGTCTAGTATAGGTTCATCGACATCTACAACTGCTTCCCATGTGTTTTGGGTCTGGGTCTGGGTCAGGTCTAAAACATCCTAAATTAGCTCCATCATAGTCCAAACTTGCTCCAGAGGTTCCCTTTGAGTCTCAGCTTGGTCCAAACAAAACAGCCTAAATTACATTGAGTCCAATTCAAAACTTCTCCAGAAGTTTCTTTCAATTTAAACCAGATCCAAAACCCCCCAACTTAAATTAGGTTTATTGAAGTTGAAAACTGCTCCTCATGTTCTGTTTGAGTTTAATCTACATCCAAAATATCCTAAATTAGGTCTACTGGAGTCCAAGATTGGTCCAAAGGTTCTCTTGGACTGGATCTGGTCCACTACAATCTAGATTAGGTCAGCTATCTGTCCAACACAGATCAGGTCCAGTTGGGGTTCTCAATCAGGTTCGTAGGTAGATGGATCGTATCAGAGTTCAGAACAATCCCTAAACCTTCCTGGACCAGGTCTATGACAGACCAGTACTGCCCCACCGGTTCTGTTGGATCAATCCTTAAACGATGTTCATAAGTCTTTAGATCAGATCCAATAAGGTTTCAAACAGGCTAAATACGGTCTGGATCAGGTACAGTAGAATCTGAACCAGGTTCAGAACGGTGAGAATCAGATCCAGTAGAGTCTAAAACCGGTCCTCAGCAGCTTTGGCAGTAGAATGGATCAGGTTCTGCTCAAACATGGCGGTTGGTTTACAGTTTGATTGGTTCTCTCCAGGTCCTCTGAATCCAATAAGACCCAGAGCTAACTGGGTCGCTAGATACTGACCGGAGCGTGATCTGATGAGATCATTTAAAAACCCAGTTCAGAGTTCTGGTTCTGTCTGGTTGGGTTGAACAGAAGTTTAAGTTCTTCAGAAGGAGACCTTTATTTCATGAGATGTTTGCATCCTGAGTATGATGCCAGTGAGGTTTGACTGTTCTGTGCGGTCAGACTAACGCCGCCTGTTCCTCAGAGAGGTATAACTTCCTGGGCATCAGCATCGTTGGTCAGAGTAACGACAGAGGAGATGGAGGGATTTACATCGGCTCCATCATGAAGGGAGGAGCTGTAGCAGCAGATGGACGCATCGAGCCTGGAGACATGCTGCTGCAGGTAGGGCCGACACCAGGTTCTGGTTTGGACCGTCTAGGCTGGAGCCAAGACTCTCTGAAGCTCTTTGGACTTCAGAGAGTCCTTTGTTACTCTGGTGATTCTCACTGTGATTCTGTTCACTCAGGTGAACGATATCAACTTTGAGAACATGAGTAATGACGACGCAGTCCGGGTTCTGAGAGAGATTGTCCACCAGCCAGGGTGAGGCTTAATTAAAACCACTGACCACTACAGTCTGTCCTCCTCTGTTCTGCAGCTCAGGACGACCTTTGAGACTCAAGCTGAGCTGTTTCTCTCCTTCCTTTTAGTTCGGTGACATTAACTGTGGCAAAGTGTTGGGATCCAAACCCACGAAGTTGCTTCACGCTGCCCAGAAGTGAGTCAGGGAGGATGTGTAGGTTTAGTTTGATACTGTTGAATGTGATCCTGCTCGTTAAAACGGTCTGTCCTGTAAAACCGTGCAGGTGAACCAGTCCGCCCCATCGACCCGGCTGCCTGGGTGTCCCACACGGCCGCCATGACCGGGAAACTCCCCCCACACTACAGTACATCTCGACTCTGCACCTCTCTTCTATTGTTAACCCGTCCATCACATTTTAACTTCCTGCTGTTCTCCAGGTGTGCATGAAGAAAACCACCTCAACATCCACAGTGACATGACGGTGGTCGTCAAGGCGATGGCCAATCCAGAGTCAGGGTTGGAGGTTCGAGACAGGATGTGGCTGAAGATCACCATCCCCAACGCTTTCATTGGTGAGAAGATGTACTAGATCTGGATCTGAGAGTCTGAGGAATGTCTCATTCACACCAGTCCTGTTTAATCCACTTTTATCAAACTCTAGTTCATTTGCGAAGGTGTGAATCGAATTCTTATGTGGACCAAAAAAGTGAAATCTGGTCCATCTACAAACCTAAGTTTTGGTTTAGTCGAAGTGAATTAGAAAACAGATGTGAACGCCAAGTGGACCGGAGACCGCTCCAAAAGCAGAAAGTGGACTACAGCGCAGGGCATTCTGGGTAAATAAAACCAAACTTTCTAGCCTAGCAGTAGCAGGAGAAATGGCTCGTGTCTTTCTCCAAAGACAAAAGAGAAAATCTGATGCCACTTCATTTTTGTTTCCTTTTTATGAAGAAGGAAGTTGCTCTCAGTGTCTTCAGAGGTTTTTGTGTCATTTCCTTCAGTGGTTCTTGGTGCAGCGCCCCCACAGGCCAGGAGGGGAAGATGTTGCTCAAACGGTTTGGTTGGTTTGACTCAGAGCAAAAAGAATGAGAACCACAATAGCTGAAAATGAAACAAATGTTGTTTTGGTCACCACTCGAGCCGAGTTTACCGAACTATCAGGTGGAGAACCACCTAAGATTCTCACCAATAAAAACATTCTGTTTAACCAACATGAAATAATCTCTGTTGTATTTCTGGGGTATAAAGATTACTGTCAGAACTGTGAAAGGAGACGGATACATTTACCTTCTATCTGTCCAGGTTCGGACGTGGTGGACTGGCTCCACCGTAACGTCGAAGGTTTTACCGACCGGCGCGAAGCTCGTAAGTACGCCGGAAACCTGCTGAAAGCCGGATTCATCCGACACACCGTCAACAAGGTCACCTTCTCAGAGCAGTGCTACTACGTGTTCGGAGACCTGTGTGGAGGTAGGAGCTGGGGCCACAGAGCTGCCCACACTAGAGACCTAACTATAGTTGTTACTCTTTGAAATAAGAAAACCTTTAAATAGTCAGTGTGCTGAGATCACCTGGAGTCTGTGGCGTTTTGTCCTCAACTGATGTCCTCATTAAAAATAAAAGGGAAACCTTCAATTAAATGTGTTAATAGAAAGAGAAGTTGTTTTGGTTGGTAGGTTGCAGTCTTGAACTTTCACCTGCAGTACCGTCAATGAACATAAGATGGCGACACAGAAGAAAAAGCCAGTAGATCATGTTGAACTGTTTTATGTAATTAATGTCACTTTCAGAGGTTTATTGTTATAAATGTATCAATTTTTATTCAAAAGGTCTGGACTCTACTGTAGTCTGATGATAAGAAAATAAAAACCAGAGTTTCTAACAGCAGAAATGTTCCTATTTCGCTGTTGCTGCTCCTTTCAGATCTGGCTGCCATGAATCTGCTCGACCGAGAAGACGGATCCTCTGGAGAAGCAGGAGGAGGAACTGACTGCGACCCCCCAGCCTTCCCCTACCAGTACCCCATCCCTCACCCCTACAGCTCGCCCCACCCGCTGCACCAGCTTCCGGCCTGTGGGGCAGGAGGAGGCAGGAGTCATCACAGCGAAGGTACAGGACGTTTTCTAGTTTTTCATAAGGTTTGTGTCAGTATGTGGCATCCTGTATGTATTTGTTTAGCTAACACGGCTGCTTGATCATGTAAGTGTTGTATGTTTCTGTATTTCTCAGTCCTTCATTTGTTGTACTCTAGAATCAATGACCAGAACGTGAAGAAAGGAAACAAACTGCTGCGTAAACAGATTTCAAAATAAAAGCTTGAAGTTAATTACTTGAAGAATCTGAACAGACAATAACCAAAATTTCAACACAGATGTCAAGTAAATTAATGCTTTAGAATTCATCTGGATAAATGTATTCAGGTGAAGCTAATTGTGCTAAAATCTTAAAATTTAGCAAAAAACGCTAAGGCGCCAAACAAGCAATTAGCTCCGCTATTAGCAAATACACTTGTTGTTTTTGTGACCCTTTCTTTAAAATGTTTTGCAGCGCTGGGGGCCTTGATTCACAGTAGTCGGACAGACAGCGCAGGATCAATGGTTTTCTGGCTGGGAATTGAACCGGGGACTAATTGCCTGGGTTCCCCGCCCTGCTGCTACGCCGTGTGTCTGATCAGTTGCTATCTTGCCATCCGTCCTTGAACATTGAAAACAGTGACTACGTTTGAGGGATAAAAGCAGATTGTGTTGAACATCAGGTTCTGTCGTGTCTATGAGATTGGGACTCAGGATATGGGACTCAGGATAGGGTACGTCATTTTGCTGTTGCATCTTATATATTAAAGGATTCACAGACAGTCTGGGAAAGAAATTTCAGGATCTCTTCCTACGCCACAGAATCTAAAGGCTGATATCAACACTGCGTTTTGTTTTAATGTTTATGTCTGGAAGACCCTGATGAAACCTCGGTATCGCCTCTCGGGTTCTGATTGAAATGATGACATCATGTGTTCATTGGTCCTGCAGGAAGTCGCAGTAGCCAATCAGACTTCAGCGACGATCAGAAGGAGGGAAAAGGAGGAACACAGCAGGAATCTGCCAACCAGGAAGCGAACTCTCAGCACAAGATGGCCGACTGTCTGAGTGATGGCAGCACTCAGGGACCGCCCACCTCCTTCTCTGGTTCCCATGGTGACAAAGACATCCTAATGCCGTCTCAAGGTCAGCACCGTGACTTTTCATCGATCCAACCGGAAATCTCTCGACAGTCCTTCCGTTTGGCCATGGGAAACCCCAGCGACCTCTTTGTAGATGTCATGTGACCCAGTGACGATGATGTCATATCCTGGCAGGTGACCTGGAGACATGATTAAATTGACTTTTTCAACTAAAGCTGAAACGAACTGAAAAAGATTGAGGCACATTGAGTCACTGTGAAGACCTGGACCTGACAAGAACGAGACCGGGCTCTGATCAAACCTGAAACTAGACAAAACCATCCTGAGCCTGACTGAGAACCAAACCTGAGAACTAAACCTGACTGAGAACCAAACCAGATTTACCTGGCTCTGACTGAGACCTGGACCTGACTCGGACCTGGATCTGACTGAGACCTGGACCTGACTCGGACCTGGACTCTCTGAACTAACCAAATCAAAGCATGTGCTGCTTTTCTCTCTGAGTGACGTTCTGAGTCTCTCCTGCATCCTGGGATGGTTGTAAATTATTCCTGATATTCCTGTATGTAAATCACATGCTGTCACGCTGCCTGTTACTGAGCTGATTATGTTTATATTTATTCATTATTTATTTATTTAACATGTTTATTTATGAACTGTTTGTTCCAAACATTTACTGCAGAAACCGACGTGTGGATTATTTATGAGTCCTTGTTCTCGTCTCCTCATGACTTAAAACGTCCATGTTTGTCTAACTGGAGAACCCAGAGAAGCAGAGCTGTAGCTTTTCCTCTACATTCCAAAACCAATGAAACGGGTCAGTGAAAATGATTTTACATAAAGGTTAAATACGGTACCAAATCACAGACCGAAGGCTCTCAGACATTTGGGTTTTGTGAAGAACAAAGACTGATCTGTTTAGTGAAAGCAGTTGTATAAAATGTGTTCACTGTGTTATATGTACACAACCAGATAGTAAAACCTTAAATGATGACTTAGATTTGGAATAAAGTTCACATAGCTTTCATAGAAATCTGTGTATGACTGTGATTTCCTCATATCTTTAAAAGTCAGGAGTTTCACCTGTTTTGACACTACAAAAGGTGAAAGTTTCAAATGAGAAGGAACAGACAGATTAATTGTGACTGTTATTTAATGCAAACACTCCAATTATGCGTGTGTTTGTTTCTTTTACATTAGCAGAATAGCGACAACATTTTGCACATATTTGTAATGGAAATGTAGCTACTGGCTGATTACAATGAATGTGGCACTTTGAATTGAAATGTGCTTGATGGGAACAAATAATATCTATACAAGGTCTGTTTTATTGTGACTCCTTTTGTTACTAAGGACATCCTCTAGCATACAGAATACCAGACATATAACATGCTACCCCCTCATTATTCATTTAAATTATTTTTTGAAATATTTCTAGCTTACATAATTGTTTTACTCGTAATTTTGGCCCTATCTGCTTTCCATACCGTGGAGCGCCGCAGGGCGGTGCTCTGAATGGGACGCGGCCGGTCTCCATCAGCTGACGCGCCGCTTCTGCCGCCGACATCTTACCCCCGAAACGGCGGAGACGCAGAGTCCGAGTTCCACGGTCAATCACTCCGATAAAGTGATGACGGGCCCCGCGGGAAATGAAGGACGGGGCCGGGGAACATCGTTGCTGCCACCGGAGGAGGTGAGGAGACGGAGGGAAGGGGACACCAACAGTCCGTTTGTGCGTCTGTCTGCGCTGCAGTGGCGGACTGACCGCCAGACAGCTGCGGTAACGTTAGCAGTTAGCCGCTAACGGCTAGCCCGAACTAGGTTTAAAAATGCCAGATTTTAGTGTAGCGTAGTTCATCAAACCGGTTCTGACTGCTGTGAATTAAAACACGGTCCATTTTTAATCTGGAGAATCCTCCCTCTGGTTCGGCATTGAGAGAGAATAGCTAACTCAAATAATTTCCATTATTTTGTGAATTTTAAGGTACTGCATTGTGGTTAGCGTTGTGTTTAAAAGGAGCGTCAGCTACGTGACTGGGCGGTGACTCCAGGCGCTGTGATTCAGTGGTGAAGGGAAACCCGAACCAAACAGCGGCTCGGTGTCTCAGTGTGAGCCGAAATAACCGCTTCAGCTCCCGTTACCGCCCGAGGAAACGTCCGCGGGGAATAAATCTGCAGTTTTCCGGTGTGATCAGATTCCAGGAGGCTGAATGTTTTTCTTCAAGGCCTCTTCCACATGACGATGTTCTGGGAGGCTCATTTTATTCAAACGTTCAAATATATCAAACCAAACCCGTTCTCCAAATCAAATTGCTGCTATTCCTTACTTCTATATAGAAAGCCAAACGTACCAAATAAACAATAAAATATAATTGAGTCAGTCTGTGAATAACCGTGATGAACTAGATTAGATCATTTTGATGATGCTTTTGGTATTTAAATAACCAGAATTTTATTCATTAATATCTTTAAAATAAGTTTTATGTCTATCTATGGTGTTATCAGGTGTTGAAAATTGGTATGTTTGCTTTACTGTGTAAACACAATATATCTGGTTCACACCAATGTGTTTTGTATTTTAAATATTGAATAAAAAATAAGAAACATTAAATCCCTGAACGTGAAAATTACTGACAACGGAAAGTATTGTGATTCATAACTTCCCATATTTTTTTTATTTAAAACCAAATAATCATTAAAAACATGATCAGATTGACATGTTTCTGCATGTTGGGATGTGAGGTATTTATTCATAAGGTTGTAGGGACTCAGATGAAACCGACGATGTATTTTACCGGGGAAAAAAATCATAACAAAAATCTAATTTGAGATTCAAAGTTGAAATTCTATAAATTGGATTTGGTCCTTAAAGAAGATATTTAGATCTGACATGATCAATGGAGCAGGAGAATCTGAAAAAATGGACGATTTAAGAATGTGGGCAGTTTGTACATTGGTTTCATCCGGTTTTTATATGTTTTTAATAATCTGATTGAAACATGAAGACCAAATCTCCCAGAAACAGACTTTAAAAACATGTCGTCCTGCAGCAGAAATAAAATAATAAACATGTTAATGAATGCAAAAATAAATCTAAATAACAAAGAGAAAAGTACCTCCTGCTAAATATGCTTGAAGTTTTTTTTTTTTACTAAATCTGTAATTTACTAGAAATGTTTTTATTTTGCACATTTCATTCCCTTTTTTCTTATAATCTGTGTTTTCTGTGTACGTTTTGCTCGGTGAACTGGATCGATTGTATGAATGGATTTTGACATCAGAACTGATAGGAAACGACAAATCTGGAAACGTTTAGCAGATTTGGTGTCTGCAACATCGAACTATTATAAGAAACATGATCAGAAAAGCAAATCATCAAGGTAAAAATCATGAAAAAGATGCTTAATAACAGCAGGGGTGCACCTAAACCTTGCAGGAGACCGGGGCCCCCAGGACCGGATCCGAACCCCCGTCCCCTCCTCCCTCGGCCTCCATTTGAAAAACTAGAACCGGTCCGTCTGCTGCTGCCTTCAGGGTCTGTTTGGAAATATCAAACTCATATTTCACGTAGAAACTTGATCAGATCAGGGAACTTTCCATCTGCAGCCTCCAGGGGGCGGTCCTGCGCTGCAGAGAAGCCTCCAGAGCCGGTTCTGGTGAAAACTGGACCCGAACAGACCCGGTTCTGCTGCAGCGGTTCAGAACCAGCTGGCGATAGACGCCTGCTCAGGAATCAGACGCTGACGCAGCTTTACAGCCGCCGCTGCTGCGCAGGGAGCCTGTTGCCAGGCAACAGCAGGGAGGCAGAGGAGGGAGAGTGATGTCACCTCAGTCTGCAGCAAGGCGTCCGTTTGGTCCCTCACCGTTTCGGGTTTAAACGGTTCTGGTTCTGTTTTTATTCCTGTTGATGAAATGAGAATAAATGGAGGATCAAAGCTGGAAGGATTTCACTTCCTGTTTCCTGCTGAGAGGAAAACCGAAGGAGGCTGAGGCGTCTTCTGCAGCTTCACCTCGCCCGTCGTCTGGCAGCCACCGCCGGGTCGCCATGACGATGAACTCCGGCTGACGGCGTGAAGAGGACCGGGTTTGGTCCAGATTTGTTTGTGGTGTTTCAGGGGGATTCTTCCGGCCAGCAGGCGGCGCCGTTGAGCTGCAGCTCTGTGGTTTTTTTAGGTTTTGATTTTTGTAGCGTTGGATGAGAAAATCAAAACCTAAAGAAAATACAGCGCTGAGTGGGAGAGCAGCGGGAACCCGGAATAAACGCCTCAATCTCAGGGTGTCCAAAGTGTGGCCCGGGGGCCGTCTGTGGCCCTTCAGAAGGATTTTATTCGGTCCCTCACCTCAAGTTGAGACTGGGGAAAAAATTGGCCAAAAAACAAGTTTGTGTTCTTGCCATTGACAGAAGTTTATTTCTGTTCTAGTTTTGTCCTTTTTCTGCATTGTATGTTTTTTCTTTATTTGTGGAAATGTTAAAAATGATGTTTTTAAAAAGTAAAATAATACATCTGATAAGACTTTTGTGCACTGTTCACTGGCTAAAACTTAATAAAATAGCAAATTTTTCTTTTATGCAATAAATTCTGTGGCCTGCCTGTAGTTAAAAATTTCCAGTTTAAACCAGTTAAACCAGTGGTTTAGTCATTATCAATGTTGTTGCTTTGGAATCAGAACATTTACTATTGTCGGTTCTGGACTCTGAGGGTGAATTTATAGGAATATGAAAAATAAAAGTAAATAAAAAATTCAAATGTCTTGCAGCCAATCAGAGGCCGCCTTTAACTGTACAGTTTAACTGAATCTTTTGGGTTTTATTGAATAAAATGTTCTGCTCAGACGCCGTTGTTTGACTTTTATTCATCATACTTTGTTTTTCTGAAGATGAAATCTGTTTCTTCCAACAATCAAACAGAAAACAGTTTTTTCCAAGTTTAAGCTTCTTGATTTTAACTTTAAATAATTTTTTAAATCTTAGTAGTTGCTTTGATCTATTCTTTTTTTTTTATTTTTGGGGACATTTTTAAAAATTAAGTAGTATGGATAAAGAATAATACTCAAAATGTCTCCATAAATTAAATATAAAAAAATAATTTTAATGGGAAGCTCATTTTGTCAGATTAGATTTTTTGACACTTTTATTTTATAAAACTACTTTACGTATTCCAGGACTTTTAATTTAATTTATATATTTTTTAGCTCCATATTATATTTAATTGAGGGGTCTCTGGGTCTGCAGCTCAGGTGGATTCATTGTGGCGGATCGATTACGTCATCATGCAGCAGAACCTGCAGTAGCCTGATGCAGCCGCCAGAGGGCGCCGCGCTAACAGCTGGATCCTGAAGCAGTAAGCTTCAGTGGAGGAGATGCTAAAATGTTTTCTCCGCTGTGGTTTGATGTTTGTCTCTGGAACAAATATGAGTCACAGAGTGGAACATAAAAATATTTAAAATACATTTTATTGTTTTAGTTCAAACATTTACATTCATACACAATGATACACATTTTCATAAACATTTGTTTGAAAATTATGAAGAAATAGAAACTTATCAGACCTACATTATTCTTCATTTTAAAGAGACGGGAAGATTTCTCAATAAGTCATGTCTAAAAACCAGCTTTAATTTCCACTTTTCTCAAAGATTCCCTGTTTTTAGATTATTTTGATGATTAACTGGATAAAAAGCAAAAGTTGCTTATTATGAGATTTTAAAACCTAAAACCAGAACATTTTTTTGAGGAAGAGCAGCTTAGAATGTTTTCCCTCCTGAAAGTCTCAGTTTGATTTGTTCAAAAATCTGCTCCACCTCCAGCTGCTGTGGCTCTGAATCAAACCAACCTGTTCCCCTCCTGGCCTGTGGGGGCGCTGCACCAAGAACCACTGAAGGAAATGACACAAAAACCTCTGAAGGCACTGAGAGCAACTTCCTTCTTCACCAGATGGAAACAAAATGGAGGTGTCAGATTTTAGCAGTTGGAGGATTTCTCTTTAGTCTTTGGCTAAAAATCAGGAGCCATTTCTGCTGCTAGCGCTAGGCTAGCACGTTTGTTTGGGTTGTATTTACCCAGAATGCCCTGCGCTGTAGTCCACTCCCTGTTTTTGGAACGGTCTGTGGTCCACTCAGCGTTCATATTTCAAACTACACCAGAGTTCACTTCTTGGTTCGATTAGCATTCACACCTCCCCAAACAAACCGGCCCTTCAAACGGACTGGAGTTGGTTAAAGTGGATCAAACAGTTCCACAAATTGACCCTAAGCATCAAAGAAATACAGATTTAATCCAAACTTTACGCTTTAAACTTATTGAGACCAGGTAAA